CTGGTAGGCACGTAGGTGGTGGTAGGGGCGATGGTGTAGGTACAGCGCTGGGGCAGACATAGGTGGTGGTGTAGATCTTGCTGGTGACAGTGGAACCGCTGGGCTCAACGGTAGCGACGGGGCAGGTGACGGTGGTCGCGGTCGAGACAACAGTGGTCACACCACCAAAGGTGTGAGAACCGCTGGGCAGCTCAGTGGTGGTAGCACCGCAGACGGTGGTAGTATCCCGCACGGTGACAGTGGTGGCGGGGATGGTGTAGGTACCAGTGGAGGAGAAGCTGGTCACTCCAGGGGTGGGGAGAGGGGTCTCAGGGACGGCGGGCGTGGAGGCCTCAGGGGTTCCAGCCGGAGAGGAAGCCTCAGGGGTGCCAGGGACACCGCCAGTGGGAGTGTCAACGCCGGTGGCATCAACACCAGGGGTGGTGATCACGGTGACGGTGGCGGTGCTGGTGGAGTGAAGGGTGGTGACGGCCTCGGAGGTCACGACGCTGCTGCTGGGTACACTGGGGACCTCAGAGCTGCTGCTGCTGGGCTCAGGAGCCGGGGTGTTGATGGGGATCACTGCGCATGACGATTAGTCTCAATCCCATTGGATTCATCTGACATCCAGCTGGGCGACTTACGAGTGGGAGGGCCAGTAACGGTGATGACCTTGGTGATGCATTCGCAGTTCTCATCACCCTCGGCGGGAGCCTCAGGCTGATAAGCGCGGTTGTGGTGGAAAGACTCATGGCCGTGACGACGCATGTGGGCGACATCAGCCATCGCGGTACCGGCGACGGCAGCCGCGGCGGCCAAGAAAGCACCCCTCATGTTGGATAGAACGGAAATTCAAGGAATTGGGTATATGGTCAAACGAATGAGTGCCCGCTGAAAGAGTGAAGCGGTGGTCAAACAAGTTGGTCCGAAAAATAAGGAGGGGAGGGGGCACACGGCCTCTTCTACTTGATATAGATGGAGAGAAATTCTTCGAACGAACCCGAACCAGAGAAAGAGAGAGAAGGGAAAGAAGGAAAACAAAAGGGAAGGGAAATGAAGGGAAGAAAAAGGTCACTGTACCAGGGGGGGCGACACAGCACGGGCTCAGCATGACTGGAGAGAACGCCACGAGTCTAGCCAACCGTAGGCAAAAGGGGCTCCATCCACTTGGCACCAGAAGAAACTTACAGAGAAAAAAAACAATTCATGCTGGCGGTGTGAATTTCCACTAGTCAGGCACCAACTGTCCGCTATTGGTGGCCCACTTCCTGATGGCCAGGGTGACCCGGTTGGTGTTGTCCAGTGGTTGTCCGCACGGCTCGGGTAGAGGTGGAGGCCAGTCCCTTGGATTGGTGAACCAGACTTGGGCTAGTACTAGTAATTCCTGAATGAATTGTGTTTTTGAGTTGGTTTCCCTTTGGACATAGAGGACTGTTCTTCGTGGCCGGCGACCATGGCTCCCCTCTGCCAACTTACTCGGTTTGGACCTGCCTTGTCTCACTCCAGCCTTTCTTTCTACGGCTAACATCAGTCCCTGACCGTTGAGACACACTACTGTTAGTCAGTATCCTTATGGGGCCAGCCCATTCAGCCAGCCGCAGCGGGATTTGGGGGTGGCTGCCCCAAAGCATCTTAGTCCTCCTTCAATACTGATCAAAGGTAACCCAGACACTAAACATAGGAGATGTCACGGTCATGGGAAATTAGGGAAAGACATCTCTCAATGATCCGAGTTCCGGGCCAGGCTGTCACCCACCTACTAGTACTCAGAAAAGTCAATCTACGATCCAATCGCATTTCATGAGTGATTTGTCCAGAAAAGAATCCAATGCCAGGCAAACACACCCCAGGATCCAGCAGCGAGACTGAATGACCGCCAACTGCAAGGAACAAATCGAACCAAACGTCCCCGCCAAGGTGGGGCCTCTCTAACTTTGGGTCCATCTGAAACAGGAAGGATTACAGCTGATCCCCTCTTATACAACATTCTCATTGGGCCCTTATGCTGAGCTTTAATTTCCGGGCCCCATGATGTTTTGGCATTACCCAACTGGTACGGACAATATTACTGATTGCATGGATCAGGGGGGGTTGGCCCTCAGCCTCAGTTATTTTTATACGTGGTTCACAAACGTCCAGAATTGTTCCTCGCGTTGCCGAAGTGGCAATTCAACGATGAAACCGAGGGTAAGCTGACATCATCAGGGTACCGCCATGCAGAGTAAAATAGATGAAACCGAGAAGACGGAGTACAGTCGTTCATCAATGCCGGCCATTGTGTCCTCCCTCTGGAGCGAAAAAGTGTAAAAAAAAACAAAAAAAAAAAAGATCAAAAAGGCTAGACTGATCACATAAGCAGCACCAGCAGCCGATCTCAAAATCCAGATCACTTGCCAGATGGGGCCTTTTTTCTTGTTTCCGCCGATCCCTTCTTCTTCTTTCTTGTCTTCCTCTTCTTTACGAGATCAAATCCGGAGTAACACCGGGGGGCAACTGGCACCACTTCATTTCATTCTGAAGAAACCTTCCCTTTTCGTGCGTTTGATAGTGCGGTTGATCGCTACGGAAAATGCCGACAAATCTGAGACCAGACTGAGTCAAGTCTTGGATTTATGACCAGTCAGAAGCCAGTAGAGGGACTTGGCTTATGGAGCCTGTCCAGCCTAGTCGCGAGAACGGTCCTGTCATGGATCTCCTCGTGCAGTTGCCCCTGATCTGGATATCACCGCCTTCTTCTCTTTATCTGTGATGTGGTCGACAAAGAATCAATAAATAAAATCGGTGTTCGCCGTCCCGCGCAGAATAGACGGTCCACGTCTATTCTCTCACTACACGAAGAGAAAAAGTAACTAGAAATAGAGCAATAATCCTTCCCTCCCCGCTCCCATGTTGATCGCATGGCAGTGCTGGCCCGTGAACACATAATCAAACCCATAATCCCCATCCCCCTTTTCCCTCTCTCCTGGTACTGTCCCGACATACTTCAATAGCATGCATAGTTTAAATTCCTGACCCAATTATTTGCCATTGTATCCTCCAATTGGGAAAGTTGCCCTAATTTTATGCATGCAAGTACGCACTATTCCCCGATCGATGGCATGGTATCAAGTAACCCCTGAATCTAGTCGTAGTATTCTATACGTCCAGCTCCGTATCGATATGATCCAACAGTCTATGAGGTGCAGTCAACATCGAAATCCTACCCCACACATGGAATGCCGTCCAGTCCATGCAGTGATGATTGGCACATGGCACATACCGCGGACGTACTAGTTGAGGCAGTGAGCGACGTTGATCCGCATTATCGGATCAGATCAGTCTCCAGCATTCCATTCCATAACCTTGCATAGATCTTTCAAATCAGCCTTATGGGACATGGGCATATATATCAAATCTGATTATAATACGACATTCATACTCTTATATATACAACTCTACTAGCCCTATGATTCATACATCCATAACATCTATCCAAGACGCATCTCTTCGCTACCAAGTCCAACAACAACAACAACAACAACAACAACAACAACAACACCACCACACCTAAAACGCC